AGACTTTCCAAGATGATGCCAACTTGGGTGGCTTCATCGATTCTGGCACCATTGAGCTCCGCATCATGGATGTGATCAATCATGTTCAAAACATATACCTTGACTGAAGAACATTTCTTCATTTTGTCATTCATGAAAGCCCTAATAGCATCCAAACGAGCCTTCTCAGAGGGAGTGCCGAACATGGCTTCTAGAGACTCCATTATCTCATAAGCAGTCTCCATCTCCTCATGCTTCTTGCGAAGCACATTGCTCATACTGGCCAACATAAAGCACTTTGCTTTGTTGTTGGCCTTGATCCAGCAATCATAAGGCTCCCTTGCGGTTTTGGATGCATTAGCCGCGGGTTCTTAAGGACATTCCTCTACTATGACAAATTTGTAGTCTTCACAGACCAACAGTATGTTCATGTTACTTTTCCACTTAGCATAGTTATCACTGTCTAGTTTTTCGGTCGCAAGTAGTGTGATAATAGGATTTGACATATTACTGGAAATAAATATAATATTCATCTAATCAATTTATGTGTGTGAATATTAAGACATGTTAATTTAGGCACAATTAAATATGATGCATGAAGCACATGAAAAATACATAAATCATGTTTTAATTTTAGGTGCCAACGATAGTCTAATTTTTCACATATAAAGTGTACCTTTGGGTAGTCATGTTATATGCCAATTAGACCGAGACTCTTCTCAGTTAATAAATATAGCCAAAATATATCATATTTTCATATTTATTAACTACCGTTATTTTTAGTCAAAATATAACCAACAGATTTGATTATATTTTATGAGTGTGACCCACAGTTTCAGATCCCATAGACTTAACTCTGGATTGCTACCTTTGGGTAATCAATTCAGAAATACATCTTGAAATCTCATCTCAAGGAAGCCAACCTTGTTATTGATCCGGCAAGAACACTCTCCTTTAGGAGGGCGATTCAATGTCGCTGCAAAGCCCCTATCCGGATCTCACGATGTTGCGCTAAGGCGGAGACTAGTGGGTCGTATTGTCATACAACCCTCTCTCACTCATTATTTTGCAAATATGTATTTTGTTTGAAAAACATCTCATGGTTTTCAAATCGAAAAATAAACAATTTATTTTTCGTATATGTGAAATTCCAAAATTTAACTTTTAAATTGAATTTCACATGTAGCATTATTTTGCAAATCAATTTTGCAACTTAAATCAATTTAATCATATTAAATCGATTTTAGTGCAAGGTTCTTATTTTATTTTATTTTTCTAAAACCCTTTTATAATAAATAAAATAAATAATAATAAATGCGCATATATGCATGGCATGTTATAAAACTTATGAGTAGGCACAATTATATCTATATGGCATGTTATATGCATGGACATATAATATATAATTATCAACATAAAATATAAATATATGCAATCGTCTATTGAGATGGATTTGACCGGGTCCCATGGATAAATAAATTACAACTCAATCGAATAAATAAATAATTACAATAATTATTTCCTTCCGTTACATCAACGAGTCTTTGATTCTTGAGTTCTTTATTCTTCGGCTTCATTCTTTGTCTTCGGGTTGGATTTCATCTTCCTTGGAGTCTGAAACTTTTCTGGATATGTCAGCACGCATTACGAGGGTTTCGAAAACCCTCGGGTCCAATTCCTGAATCCGGGTTGCCAGCCGCGCACCAGGGTGCGCGCGCGGGCGCGATTTTTTCCGCACGCTGGGGCGAGCGCTGGAGCGTGCTTGACCCTGCGCTGGGGCACGCAGGCCGCGCGCTGGGGCACGCTTGGGCGTGCGCTGGGGCGCCCCCTTTGGGCGATTTCTGGAAATTTTCTGGACAGTTTCTAGGCATCTTCAAAGGCTTCAAACTTAATCTTTAAGGCCTCCTTTTGATTCAAAATCAAAACCCTAATTCTACCAAAAACCTAGAATTACAATAATTCTAATTTCGAATCAAATTACAAATAATTTTATCAATGAATAAATATAACCGATCTATGGAACCATATAATTAACGACCAAATCCACCATCCATACATTCATCAACATGAATCAAAATAAACATCCATAAATGCAAGTGCCTATCACATATTTAATATATCAATTTTGAATATCAAATAATCGAAGCATAAATTAATATCGTCTATAGACCGCTCTGATACCAGTTGTTGGTAACCGAATCGAATTCGGATGCGGAAGCGTGGCGGGGAGGCGGATCGTGTATAACAAAAATTTCATAAAACATTTGAGATACTCTATAGATTATATTAATTTATGCACGAATAAATTAATCGCGTTAATTTAGATGTCAAGAACCCAATTAGGAAAAATACCTGGAGGCCGACTCGGATGATAACTTGAGTTCTTTGACCACGAACAGTCCTTGCTCCAATCTTTGTGTTTAGAAAACCAAAGTCTTCCACGTCAATTCCTCGATTCCATGTAGACGTGTGTGTGGGCACACGTGAGACAAAACATGTTTGAATAAACACTCAAATTTTTCACAAACACCAACGCATGCACGATGTGGAATTTTTTTGGGAGAAAAAATTTTCCATCTCTTTTCCTTTTTGAGAAATTCGGCCACTCTCACTATTAGGGCAGAAAATATGTTTCAAAAATTGTGTTCACAATTTTCTATCATTCTCATATTTAAAGAGTAGAAGTCAAACTTCAAAAAGGAATCAAATCTCTATCTCCTATTTGAATTTGGAACAAAAAAATCTCCTACACCTTATCCTTTAAGTGGCCGGCCACCCTAGGGTTTCCATCCCCTGTGTGTGGCGCCAATACTGGATAGGGAAGGAAGAGAAAATCATCATTTATCCTGCAGTCCAATTTTAATTCAAATTCAAATTCGAATTTAAGTCAAACTTAAATTAATTTGAATTCTAAATTGAACAACTTATCAAATAAGTTTAAAAGGATAAATTTAAATTATGTTCACAATTCAAATTCAAATTTAAATAATCACATTATTTAAATAATAATTAATTCTCAATTAATTATTTTTTG